GCCCTCGACGACATAACCAATTTTGTGGAAGTCGAGTCAATGCAACAGCAGGAGTATTTGAACAGCCCAAGTGAAAATTAGTTACAGTTGACGAGTCTTAAGTAGATTGACGAAGGTTTACGTTTAATTCGAAAACCTTGCTCGCCGTTTTGCAGTCGTGAGGGACGCCGGAAATTAGTGCTATGTTCTGATATGACTTAGTTAAATGTTGGTATAATAGGACATTGTTGGTAGATTTAATGTATCACTGATATGAAATTAGCTTCTACGAGAATAAAAGTTTTTTCAACTTTTTGTCAAACACTGTGATGATCCGAATTGTTGGTAGTCATGTGGAAGCGCAGAGTGGGTTGGTCGGGACTTCATACCTTATTCTCACAATCCGTCTGTCCACGAACACGGCACTTGCTGCAACCTGGACATGACTGTTACCCTGTAGGTTTCAAATTAGTTTCTTCAACTTCAAATGCTGCCCTGTGGATAATGAAATTTATGAAATTTAACAGATCTGCTTGGAATCAGCTTCTATTTTAAGTGACAGAATTGGAAATTTCATTGGTGCATTTAAGCCGAATTGGAGGTGGTATATGCGATCGATTTCTGCGATTGGCGGTTAGTTGAAATCCTTTGTAGTTTATTGGGCAAATTTTAAAAAGATGTGATTTGATTGGTAGAAATTACTTGAGTTTTGATGGTGGAATTTCGATCCTTTGAAAACAGAGTAAAGAGTAGTATGGCAATTCGCTTTCAAAAGATAGGAATTATTCCGTAAACTCCAACAGCGTTTTCGACTAAATGGAGATTCGAAAAAGTGCTGGTGATTTGTCTGGACTTGACTCCGGACGTCCATAAATGGACGAAATGGTAAGTCGGTCTCCGTGAGGAATGTCGGACAATCGTTGGTTGAACTCTGCGGACTTGACTACAGACTTGATTTCGTAATAACGACGATTTTATAAAGTGATATAGCCTACCAGACTCAACGAGTTTCTCCAACACCGTATTAATTAGACCAAGGAAACTGCTACCGAGTTGAAATTTGTATCGCCAAGTATCGCCTGACTTCTATGGTGTTTATTCATTAAAGAAAAAATTTAAACAAGTCTATACATATGCACGTGTGGGCTGTACATTTGAAGCGGCGGTGTGTGTGTGTGTGCGTGCGTGCGTGCGCATCTGCAGCGCTCTGATTGGTCAGTGGGACTGAGGGGAGGTAAATGAGGCGTTGAGTCGCGATGTGAAGGAGGGGGCGGTAGGTAGCTGCGACTCATCGATCCCAAAGGACGACGTCGTCGTCGTTGTGGTGGTTGTGGTAGTAGAAGTGGCGGCCTGTTCAAATCGACTATAAGGCTCATCATTGCGAGTAACGTAAGGCATCTCCGCACTTGAAGCCGTCTGGTGATTGTCGGCGGTGGATAATGGAAATTCGTCAGCGAAGGAAGCGGTGTATTGGGTCTTGTTGGCGATGGGAATGACGACGTTGCCACCTCCACGATCGCGACCCTCCTGGCTACCGTCGAGTTCGACATTCAGTGCTAGTGGTTGGTTGGGTAATTGAACAGCTGATGGTTCTAGAACAGTCAAAACATAGCTGATTTCGACTAATCTGACTAGCCTAGCGCGAGTTCCAATAATATTCACCTTCCAGCGAATCAAGCCTTGATTCACGCAATCCCTTCACCTCGCCCAGGCACTCGACTTTGTTGTTGCAATCGATTTGATGGAACCGCTTGACCTCTTCACCGTCCGTCCGAAGTTGGGAGATGCTCAATTGGTGAAGTTGGCTGCGCCACACGTGTGCAACAGGCCGCGAATACACGTCCTCAGACAACTTGGCCTGAGCGCTAGACTTTAGGTGTCGTTGGCCAAACGAAGCATCCACGTCCATGGCGTCGGGGGTGTGAAACGGCAGACCCCGAATCATGTAGGGGTAACGGTACGCACCCCATCCACCGCAGCAGTCCTCCCCGCGGCCCCTGTCGGCAGGAAATCGGGTCTGGTAGGTGCCACTGGAGGTGCTACTCAACGCGAACTCCTCCGAACCACCGTATCCAAGGTGATCGGCGTGTTGTGGTGCCACCGGGTGACACAGGCCGCCAGCACGACCTTGACTCGCGTAGCAGGGCTGCTGGTAGGCTCCGTTGATTGGCGGTGTCATGGCAACCATTGCAGCTGCCGCCGCGGCAGCCGCCGCAACAGCTGACACTCTCTCCGGGCTGTACATATGGTGACCTTGACCGTGGCCATGGAAAACGCGACCGTTTTCAAGGCCATAGTAATTGCCAATGTAGCTTTGGCCAGAAGCGGTCGATTTATCCTCAAAGTGGCCAAAACTTTGCCAGAAGGGCAGAACGGGCCGTGGGTTAAGCTTCTCTTCATAGTAGACATCGTAATTTCCACCACCACCACCACGATGATATTGATCGAAGTTGTGAGTTGGCGAGTCGGAGATGGCGGTTTGATTTCGCGCCACTCCGATCGGGCTGGGTTGATTCTGGTCCAGGGCATTTGTGACCACCGTCTGGTTGCCACCCTGCGTACTCGAATTGTTGTTGACGTGGGTCTCGGAGACGGGGAGTTGTGCATTGAGGTTCTGCAGAGAACGCGTCCGTCGTTGCGTCCGCTGTGACTGCGCTGGCTCATTCCACGAGACTTCAGTGCCACCAGAGGGGTGATTTTGCTGCTGTTGGTGCAGAGCCTCGTCTGTTGAGCGAACTGTGCTGACAGGCATTAGGTAGGGGAAGAAATTGCTAACGCTGGTTGATTCCTCGGAGAGTATTGACGTCGGTAGCATCGATTTTTCCTCTATTCCAGCCTAAAAGCCAATCGATAGAGCTTGTTGGTGACTGCCGTGCCATCAATTCGAGTATTGGTGTTTTGGTTTGTTTTAGTGCACTGTTCCAACTACCGGGACGACCGAACATTAAGGCCGGTATGACCAAAGCGCGTACATGAAAAAGATCCCCACTTCAGCTGATTTACGCATTTAGCAACAGCATCACAAGCAGTTATGTAACATTCTAGTCGGTTCTGACACCCTCGCGTCAATGTAACGTTTGAGTTGCTTAAACACACTAAATCACTGCATCTAGTGATTAGTTGGATGTGCGACGCATGTTACAACGTGTGCTCCAGCAACGTTTGGTAATGATAAGGCGGGTTAATATTTGTTTTAAACGCTTTGGTTTTTTTTAATCAATCTTATCCGATTGGTCTTGACCAAGCGCAGACCATTTAAATACCACTAAATCACTTATGATAGTTTAAGCGCGAATTTTTGATTTGTTTTTAAATTCTCTGTCCACGAAAAAAGTACCTATTTATTTGCACAATACTCCAATGATTAGTGTTAGGTGTTAGCAGGCAGATATATGCTAAATTTTCACGGTAAACTAATTTTAACCATAAAGGGAACTTGCAAGAGAATTTCATTGGATTAGTCAATCTTTTTTGTATTAGCACAGGCAACCAATCATATTCGTAGTTTCCACAACTACTTCGAAATTCAATAATTTAAATAAACAGATATGTACATGCACAAAAAAGAATACGGATAGCAATGAAGTGTGGGAACCAAATTCAAATTAAGACAATGTTAAGGGGGAATCTGTGGAAAATCATCGATTGGTGGGATATTTAAAGTGTAAATTCCCGTCAGATTACGCTCTTTTTATGTAGGCGAAAATTCAGCTAATTAAAACAAAATGTGACTTTGCGGTAGCATAAATTGTGCACATCAAGCCAAAGCAATATAATTATTTTTAATTTAGTTTGTAGGAATTTAAAAGGCAAAAACAAGGCATTTCCTGGTCTTGAGTTGATCTCTGATTGCTGGTTCTGATTGGACTGTTGCATTTGTTTTAATGAATGACATTTTTAGAAGCTTACTGCGCATTTCGTTTAATCAATAAGCGCTTTTTTCGACCCGGAATAATAATGTTTCACAGCAATTCAAGATCGGATGTCTATTTATCGCGTATTCTTATAACAAAAATATTGACTGACCATGTCCCTTAAGGTCTTTTCCGTGTCCTTTCGAACATTGATCAGTCGACAGGGGTCACAGGGGCAGTTGCGGTAGGGACAGGACTTCTTGTGACCTTTCCACGTAACCGCAACGTTGTGGTTGCGACACCTGCGGCAGTGCGGTCCTACAACAGTTCGACCAATCAGAGACGAGCTGACGGTCTTCGAGGTCGACGTGGGCATCACTGGAAGCATTGGAGGCACTCGAGGAAGCGGCAGTTGAAGAAGAGGGTTCGTGGCAGTGGAAGAACGCAGCGGGGTGACACGTTGGCGTGAGTCGTCCTTGGCGAGACGTGATTGGTTGCCACCATCGGCCCCTCCCAAGGTCACTGAGTGCCCCTTCTGATCGCGGTACAGAGCAATTTGACGGGCGACTACCTTTTTGGCGGGCAAAAATTAGGTAAAAATTACCATAAACATAGCAATTTGACTCCTAACAACTCTGAGTAAATGTCACCAAAACAAAGTTGTTTAAATCAGTTCTAAAACGCCCTGCACGATACTGTGTGGCACCTTAGTGTAGAATCGATACTGTATCGATTTTGCTTTCTGCCATCTTAAGTAACTAACATGCATGTTTTGAGTGATTTTTAAAGGCTTGGGGCTTGGCCCCACTCGATGCGAAAAGCTGACCCAAAGGCTCAATACTCACTTTTCGACCTTGATCGACCAATCGGCATTTGAGACACCGGCACTGGAGGTACGGACAGGCGCGTTTGTGTCGTTTAACAGGAACCGCCTGGCCATGAGCCTTGCACTTGCGACACATGTAGGAGGCACGTGACACGACCATATTTGCCCCGGTGACAGCCTGTTCACCGTCTCCGGCGTGCTTCGCACTTCCCTCTGATGAACTCGATATCTTCCTACTCCTGCTCGTCGACTTTTGAATGCGCGCCAGCTGTGGAGGCGGCGGCGGCGGTGGCGGTGGGGGTGGTGGTGGTGGTTGCTGCATGATCTGGTCGTCCAGACGAACACTCGCGTGCTGTCGTGTCGAAGTCCCTTCGATGGTGTAGGTCTCGAAGAGGGAGTGCATTGCGTGTGCCCTAGTCAGAGTCCCGCCACACTCCGGCGCGTGCTGATTGGTTGGAACGAAGGCGTGGGAGAAGGGATGGGGGGGCAGGCGTGGCAACGCGAACGACGAGTAGTCGCTCTGCTGGTTACCAATCGAAGCGGCTTCTTCGAATTGCCCTGTCGAGGCTGTGAAGTAGGCAGTTGTGGTTCTCCTCCGATCGCACAGGTTGGGCTCCGTTTTGAGGCTTTGATTCAACCAATCACGAGGAAAACCGCCATCCAATGAGGTTCTGCGAAACATTACAAAGCGAGGTGTGCTCATCTTATGGGTGTCTGAATTGAAAATTTTCAGCACATGCAAACAAATGGCTGCTCCATAATTGAAGACACTTTATGCAACTCGCTTAATTACCTGGTTTATTTACTTAGGGCCTCAAATCAGTTTCACTCACATTTTCAAGCACCTTTTTAAGCACGCAAGTATGGACCAATGAGAATCTCCTGACAGGGATCGATTCAGGGTCACGTGAAATGTCCAATGAGAGTAACCTTTCGTCAAGATGAAAGACACGCTTGATCTCCCGTTTTAACTTAATGTGACTGAATATGGGCGCAAAATGTAAAATTCGTTTTGGATTAAAATTTAGTCGTTTTTGGGAATTATGCCCGACATTGGAGTGAATTTTAATTGGTCGATCCTAACTGAACGGTTTAGGTGTGTTTTAATAGGTTGAATTGCAGGGACCCGTATTCACCAAATCTAATCAACATATTCGGGTAACCACCAATTGGGAAACATATTTTTGTAAAAGTGTTGAAATATGTTGTGAAATTCCCCACTAATCCTTTGAACCCAGCGCTCTCACCAACGAGTGTAAACAACGTGACAATGCCCCTTTTGGTGCATTCAAACACCAAAAGCACTACGTCATAGACACTTGAATAGTTTTTGTCGTTGTTGTTGTAAAAAGATATTGTTCATTAGCCATTGTTCACGTTGAAATGGGAGTCGGTTTTGAGTTCAGATGTTTGTCCAGGTAGGTGGTGACTGGTGTAAAACCACAGCGCGCGTCTCATTCCGGCCCCTTTTGGGAACTCTGCCCAACGATCGATAGAGGCACTGGCGTTTTGGTGGGGTCTGCACCATCTCCCCGCTAAAGTCGTAACCGGCAACGAGGTCAGGGGAATTGGGCAGGTGATGGTTGGCGGGGGGGGGTGGGTGGGGTGGCTGGGAGTAATGCAAGGGGGTTTGTAACTGTCCTTCCCACGGACCAACGCGTGCGCGTGTGTGTGTGGAGAGAGCACTTCTCACCTCTGAACAGTACTCAGAATCCAGTACACATCCCTCCCGCCGCCACCTACTCACCCTCCTTCGCCGTCTCCTGATTTCAGGCCACTAAAAACGCCTGCCTCACGTTCAAGCCCTTGACCAGATGGCGCTAACATCGATTTGAACAGTGGTCGCACCCACCCAAGTCTTGAGTTGGTTGGTGGATCGTCAGACTTCAAAGCGGTGCCTTGTGTTTAAATTCACCAACGTCGCATTCGTCAGTGAAGCAAGGCTTTCGTGGTTGTTTCAAACGTCTAGTGCACTTAAACAACCTATCTGTGCCTGCAGCAGATAGACAATAAAAGTGAACATTTGCGAGACTGTTTCTATCAATAGAAATGATACATTAGCAAACGCACACGCGCACACACGTGCGCGCTGATTAGTAGTAATTTTAAACAAGGGTTCCAAACTCACCGATCCATATAGCAGCGTAGGGAACAAGTGTGTTCCGAGTAAATGCCGTCTTGTTTACAGACACCGGGACACCAGTGAAAGGAGGTTGGGTGAATGGAGGGTTGATAGCGTGGTATTGACAGGCGTTGTTCAGTCAATCAGAAGGTGTTGCTCCCTAGTTCCTCTTGCCCTGTGTTCCCCTTCGTTACAAACGAAACAATGTTACGAGATGCTTCGTTGACTGGATGCGCGCGCGCACGTGTGCGTGCGTGTGTGCGCGCTAATATTGTTACACCGCTGGAAGAGATGGTGGTGGTGGTGGTGGCAGCGGCGGCAATGATAATGCGCGCTCACAATTTAATTTTGGGCTGCGTCTTTGGGCGAATCGGCAACTGTCCACTAGCGCACAATAATTTTGGGTACATGGTTTACCCCCTGTGAAGGAGCGCTTGCGCGCGCACTAACTCCGCTCCCCCCCTGCGCCAAGCTCTCGCGCACACCACGCGTCAACCAATCAGACGGTGCGAAGCCCAAGCAGCCAATCACATGGCACTGCCTGCAGACTCCTAGTCAGGTAACCCGTGTACACGATTGGCTTGAGTGTGCCTCTGAGTAGCACGTGCATAACACAGCTCAGACACGCGCGTTCTCTTGAGTAGTTGCTGGTAGTATGCTGCAAAACTAGCTCTGACGTCAGATTGGGCGAAGCAGTTGTGAAAGTAATTCTGTCAGGGTTCGTTTTGACTCGGTTGGGTAGTCGGACATCTTGGATACGGAGGTCTCTAGCCCACACAACTCAACGGGTCAGGCTATCCACTATTTGTTATAATCAAGAAGAAAGGTTAACACAGAAGACGAAATTGTCCCATCATTTGCACATGTGTGTGTGTGTGTGTGTTTGTAAATGTCACACGAACTGACGGTCATTGGTGTGTGTGTGTGTGCGCGGGCGAGCGGGCGGGACTGTGGCGGCGAATGAGGTCGAAATGACCCCAAGCTAGGGAATAACAACGACGATTCGTGTAGTAACAATTTCTTGCCTACAACGACGCCGACTTGTTGCCACAAGCAACGCTCCCTCCCCCTCTGCAAAAGTTAGCCCACAGTTGGACACACACGCACACACACATGTGATGTCCACACTGAAGGGTTCTGCTGTAGTGTTTCCAACAAGTAAGGAAGGTAGATGTCATCCAGGCGGATTCAGGTGTTAAAGTGCTGTTGTGTGGGATGCTAGCTAACTTCCACAAGCACTAACATGACATCGACCAATCTCCACTAGCTTCTGCAATACGGCATGAAATTTCATGGACGTTCTAGAATTGAATTTCGGTAGACCTAGATATGAAATCTCATATTCTTGCAAATTCTATCATTTCTCGAGTCAAAATTTATGTTTCTGCTTGCGTGAATACGACGTGGAAACAGGTGGTTGTGATTGTGTTCAATGCGGAATATCGCTGACATTGTGTTGGCGATCACCGTGTCTAAGGTTACCGCCGCCACCATCTCAACCTCAGCCATCACCACCACCACCACCACCTTATATACCATCATGTCCTCCTCCTTCGCCACCACCACAACCTCTTCCTACGTCAACACCACCACATCCTCCACCGCCACAAGCGCCTTACACTAATTCAGACCATTTAAAGGAATTTTATAAAATATTTCTTTTAAAAGCTATCTTTACCGTTGTGCAGATGACCGCGTTTACGCAGAAGCACACCACTACCTCCCAGGAGGCTTTCGCGTACCCCCAACCGTGCCTGTGTGTGCACTGACGGCGGTTGAGGGGGGAGTGAAGAGGGAGGGACAACAGAACCGTTTATTTGATACAATCGAAACTCCCTGTAGTGCTCTGCCTCCCCTCCCCACCACCACCGCCCCCTCCTCCGCCTATTTGTACTCACGTGCCCCCAGACGTGCCTACCAATTTGTTACAATAATTTGTGCGCGCGACAATAACGATGCGGTTTTTGTAGGCAGCAAATGAGTGGATTGGGCGGAAGCAATGTCTCCTTCCACCGACATTACTGCAACAAAAAGGGAGGAGCAGAATTTCATCTCAATTACGACAGCCGGGTAGAGACTGAGTCAATGGGGCTATGTTTAACGGTGGTTATTTGTAGCCACCTCACGAGCTTACGCTTCGACAACATCCCATGGAACAGGCGCGGGCGGTGAGTAGAATTTGAACTGTGGTCAGTTAGTCGGGATCGAGCACTGGTAACTCATGACTACGTTGAGCGCAATTCACACTTGTGAATCGACCGCCAACTCGAAGCAACCAATCAGAATCACGATGAGCAAAACACGCCTTCCCATGTCGATCACGTTGTCCCAATTGCTGCTCACCTCCGGACACTACATGCGGGACCAGTGGAGCGTGTCTAACCGAGTCAGTGTACACGGGGCATTCGTTACAATGGCAGCAAGTATCACCGGCTGCAGGCGTTTAATTAGTCATCATGAGAAGGGACACAAACATATCGGAGGGGAGGGGGGATGTGCGGTGAGGGGATGCGCGATGTGGAGGGCAGTCAGCTCTCCGACGCACCCACCAGCCCACTCCTCCCCCCGCCTGAGTATTGTGCGTTGGCACGTGGGATTAGCAGAAAACACGGAGTTGGAAGAGGGGGCGGTGTGTGAGTACAGGCCGAATTAAACAATAGCCGCCGAGGCATCCAAACCATCGCACACGTGAGGAGGTGAAAATGTGCGCATTTTGGGCGTATTTAAACAGCCAAACACAAAAGCCCTATTTGCCTGGGTGACTGACTGGCTAATTGATTGATTTGTTGACTGTCCTGTCAATAAAAGGCCTTGCAGCCCGTGGAGAGGCACTGGGGGAACAGTGCTGACGCCTCATGCACCCCTCATTACCGACTACTCTCCCCGAAATTGTGTAGACCTATACAGGGATTAATTGTACATTTAGGTTGCAAAAAAACCCGCCGCAATCAGCCAATCAAAATCGACCTTACTCACTATTCTCTCAACCCAATTCGACACAATCGATTTATTTGCACGCGCGCAGTGTAACTTGTGTGGGCTTCATCGAAGCAAATTAAGGTGTTCGATTGCGACTCTGGCCTGGTGAAGTTGAGGCAATCCCAGGCCCCTAAATGAAACTAGGGGACCGTTTCACGCACAAAGACACCGGGCACAACGAACATCTGCCCACAATACCACGTCAACACGCCCCAAATGCTCGCGAATTCGGACATTGCAACTACACTGAGGCAAATCGCATTATGTCACGTTCTCTCTCCTCTCTGTGTGCGTGTGTTTAGCGTACAAACCTCCAGCTTTCATGTCTCTAGGTGGGAACGCTGTAAAGTTAATCAATAAACGATGCTAATGTAAGCAAGGGGTGACATCCAGTTCGTGTGACTTATCGGCGATCAAAAATCTAAGAAGGTGACGATAACCGCCAATCAAAAGTGTGCTACTCATTCGAAACAACCAATGAAAGCTAAACACTCCGCGATTTGATTGAAAGTAGTGTTCAGACTGTAACTAACCATCCATGTTGTGCAGGCAACATTAAAATTGAAATTCCTTGTTTCATTACTTGGTTACCTCATTGCAAGTAACTGCCAATTCGAACGAGGTCAGTTTCCTGCTCTCTGATTGGATAAAAAGGGGTCCAGGCTAGATCATTCTCTAAGGTTCACGCGAAATCACGCCAAACGGGGTAATTTTAGCTAGTAATATTGATTTTAAATGCGCTTCTTCTGAATCCGCTTGGATACCAGCCAATCGATTGTGAATACAAGTTGACGCGACTTCATGCATGCGGTGTCTGCAGCATTATTTTCAAGTTTACCATTCTAGTTCTATGCAGAAGTAGAAATTATGATCAACCCAGTTTCCACCCAATCAACAGCCAAGCTCGGGATGGTTGTAGTTTTTTTTGGCACAATAATTAAGTCTTGGTTTTTCTCCTGCATCTGGTTAGACTAATTATGTGTCCGAAATTCAGACGCGGAGTTTAAACGCAACCGTTTTGCAACTGCAGTCGACGCTACTTATAGTTTCATAGTAGCGTAAAGAAATTTAAGCGGTTGGACATTTTACGACTTAGGTTTGTGAAGATGGTCTTTGAAGTCGATCCATTGGCTAATTTTAGTATTAAACTATTGCACTAGCATGTGATTACGTTCGTTCAGGATTAATTACCAATATCAACCAATAAGAGAGAACACTGATTAGTTCATTACCGTGCTTATCTGCAGAATTCTCTGTGACCTTGAGGTGGGCTCTGCAAATTGAGCCTCATTGGACCAATCAAATTTATCTTAATTAACGCGACCTTCTGAGTAATTCGCATTTACTTGGAACGAAACAAACGAAAATGGATGGCAAGGTAATGCATAAACCTCGGCGTGAGGTGTGGAAATGGTTAACATTGAATGTGCGCGTCAACATGCACATTCGCACACATCTTGCGTCGGCGCTTATTGGTCAAGCGATTCTGTTCGAAACAAGCTCCAAATACAACATTTATCGCGCATAAACATCCGGTTCTTCACAAGAGTCTTAAATTACGGAGTACAGGTTTACTGGAAATCAACTTTTGCTAAAATAGTCACGAAATGGAAGCTCAACATGATGAGGTTAACAGCCTCACACACGCACTTAAATGCACCACAAGTAACCTAAGGAATCAATAAATTTACAACCTTCACTGGAATCCTATTTTAGAAAGCCAGTGAACTCTCTTCAAACTATACAGAAGTCGAAGATGATTGCAAGGTGAGTAGGTTCACAGACTTTTGGTGTTTGTGGAATTTATTAGCATCCTAGGCAACGACGAAATGCCATCTGCGACGTCTTCAACGTTCGAAAAGAAGAATTCTACAGCCTCAAAAAGTGTGGTAGATTATGGTGATTAGGACTAAGAATCAGAGTGTTACGCGGGAATGGTGAGGAACCGAAAGATGCCTAAAATCAATGCTCGTGGTCGGCCATTGGTCCTTCTGCAAAGATGTCTTTCACAGTCGTTACTTCGCCCTGTTTGATGATGACACACTTGTCTGGATGGCGTTTGGCAATTTCTATTGGTTGAGACGAAAACGCCTTTTTGACGTCTGCCTCACCTTCCAGGTCCGTTGTGATACAAGCTGCGGTGTAGAAGGTGTAGACATCAGTATCTTCCAGCTGCATTGAACAGAGATTAGGAGGACACTTGAGGAAGCCATCCAGGACCCAGATAATGCCGTCGCGAGCCGGCAAGTTGAACTCGACAACTCGTGGCTACAAATGGCAAAACCTGTGCGTCAATTGGAGGAGGGCCGCCCTACTTCAACAAATCTGATTGGATAGACTCACCCAATCACTATTCGGCAAGCCGTCGTAGCCAATGCGCATCGTGCCCTGTTCGTCCATCCAGAAGATGAGCTCTACTCCAACGGTCGACATAAATCGATGAACTGAATTCTTCTCAAAGTAGCCTATATCGCCTCCCCAGAGGTACAAAGGTATGTGGTTCAGTTTGGCGAACTGAAATTAAGAAGTGTTGATTGTACGTTAGCAACGAGTTCCTTGTGTATACCTGGGCAAATGTTAAAATTTGCCATCGCAAGACCTTCACTCTAAGATGCTCCACACTGAATCGGTTCTAAATCGATCTCCGCATCGATTTATTTCTGACAGCGCCTGTTCTGGGGGCATAAGGTCAAAAGTGCACTCACGTTTTCGGACAGTTCAGGAACACTTTCGTAGAGACTGAGCTCAGGGCTGACCAACGCTTTGCCCATTTGCTTCGAACGCGGATCGATCCAACCGTCGTCATTCGTCACAAGGTAGAGATTGGTTGGGGCCTTTTTGCTAAACACATTCGTCTCCATATCAGCGGTTTGTGTGATGGATTTCGAATGACTGGTTGCCAAATTAAAAAAAGGTTACAAAAATTGTAAGTTTAGTTGCGGTAATAAATGCATAACATAGATGCAAAGCTAGTTTCAAATTTGACAGCCCAATTCCATGATTGCCACTCTTCCGCCGTCGACTGAGAACCAATTACAAACCTCTCGCATCTTATTGGTTGATGGCAGGTCTAAATCTTATTGGCTAGCAGTTGATCGTCCATATGGTGAAAGAAGTATCGAATAAAGCATATATCATCAACGTACGAAAAGTCTTTGCGTTCATTCAGGATTTCAGTTATGTTTTTCTCTGGTATGACATTTATCCTTGACGTCTTGTAGATCGAGGTGGCTTTGAGGGGGACCGTTTTAAGATTATTCACTGGCGAGTAATGCCAGTTAAGCTGAAAACGAAGCCGGAAATACGCAAATTACAGTTGTGCTTAGTTGACTCCAACCTTTTGATTTAAAACAAAACTCAAACTCACGTTTGAACCCATCTTGTGCTTGGTGAAGTAAGTCGTCTCGTAGAGGTAGTCGTGTTTGTTGTTGGTGCGATGGCCGTTGGTGTGACCGGAGAAATCAGTAATGTTTGCGAGATTGCCATTATGCTTCACTATGTGGTACCTCGCCACCCTACACCGGTACTCCTTGTCCACCTGAAAGCGTTCATATTCAGCCCGGAATTGATGGTAGTTTCTCCACCCTACAAAATTAACCACAGCAACCAATCAAAACGTCAGACGCATTCAAACCAATCCCCGGGGCGAAAACACGAGTAATTACAGTCGAACGCCGAGTTCTCTGGCGCGATTACAGCATACTGATCGGCGTCGTTCATGTAGAGGTCACAATCTCGCAGGACATCCATGAACTTGTCGATGTTCTGGTATTTGGCGCACTCGGGTCTTTCAATGAAGTCCTTCAGTGTTAAAACTGGAAAGAAGAAAGAGGGATATGACAAGGGGACAGGACAATTAGCCAGTCAGATTCGCGCGTGAGCACTCACGAGAAGTTGGTATAACGGGGCTGCTGATGAGGTGGACAACACCGTTGGTAGCTACTTGGTCTGATTGGCCAGCGATGAATTCGTGGGCCTGACCGCAAGCATCGATTATCGTGCGTACCTCTTTCCCACCGGAGGAAATGCTGCACTCCACTGTGCGGGGCTGACCCATCACACTGGTTATCGATTGTTCACCTTTGTAGAGGTTGGAGGTGCATTTAAGTCCGACATTTACATGACTTGACGCAATCTAGGACGACAGATTAAAAAAAGAACGACGTGATTGGTGCAGTCAAATTCACGCAAAATTGGCGAGGTACTTACGATTTCGAGTTGTTCACGGCTGTATCGATCGCGTAGGTTGGACCATGATTGAGCAGATGGGACGGTAACTGTGTAGGTGACTCCGGACGCTACATTGGCCAGGTCTGCTTGAAGCTTCTGCGGCAGGTAATTGGCGAAGTCCCGAGTCTCAGAATTGGTGCGAAGGAGTGTCATCACTGAACTCTTGTCAAGGCTTCCCAAGCCAGATCGCGGAACGAGGGGCTAAAAATCAATAAAAAGCCCAAATCGAGGTGTAGGCTGGGTGAGTCCCTACTCCTCTCCTCAAGTAACCAATCACAACGATTTATCGATCAATTGGACGATGAAGGACGTTCCTGAATGCAACAAATGTTGGATTGTTTATGTGATTTGAACGTATGAAAACTGTTGCCAACTTACGTGCCGAATTATATGGATGAGCCCTGATCCGCATTCGATGTCAGCCTGGCTCACCTCTGTACACTCGACGTTTATGCTCTGAAAAGAAAGACAAATTACAGTCAAGGGTTTATGGAAATGGGATGCCTGAGACAAGTGTGCGTGTGGGGCTGCAAAGTTCTCTCAGCTTTTGTTTTACTCAGGCGAAACTCTAAGTGACCTTGGTCTTGATTGGTTTAGAGATCGTGGTTCCCGGATGAGCTGTACTCAGCCACCACGTGATTCACATGCACTAGCACCGATTAGCAGTAATTCAGAGTTATTGATTTTTCCGGTATACTGTTTTGGCAACCCAACCCAAGTAGAATTGATGTGACTTTACTTGAGCCTATTAAAACACAGATTATTGGCAAGTGTTTTGGGAAGTCGGGTTATTTAAACAACAAACCAATGGTGGTTACACTTACGCCAAAAGACGTTCTGGTTATTTTGATTTTTTCGCTGTTATAGATGGATTCAAGTTCAACCCCGGTTCGCAGGCTGTCAGAGTAGTATCGGCCCTTAGCAACGTGGTAGCCAACGGCACGGTGGTTGCTAAAGTGGATGAGGGAGAGATCGTATAAATGAGCCTGTGGCAGAATAGATCAAATGCTGCGTGATTTCGTACCTTCCATAGATCCGGTCTAGATCACCGCCGTTTTCGGGGAGTGGAACAAAGATTGTGAAAGGCTGGCCGTTCTTTTGCGTTAACTCTGGGAAATTCCTGAGGTAGGAGGCAAATTTCTTGAAGCCTGGTTCACAAAGAAAACGTGCATGACCAATAAGAAAGCGGGAACTGTTGAAGCACATTTCAACCACTTTCCCCCCTATATTTGCAACACTATTGGCTAAAAACTGAATATTCTAACCAATCATATTGGTGCATTTTGCAGCCAAACTTCAACAAGCTCACGAAGTCGCTTACCTAAGCCCTCAACAACCGAAGGACAATCACTAAATTGTGGAATAAGTTTCGCGCAAGGATTATTCGAATCGCCTCCAAGATATTCATGACTGTGTTGGAAACCACTGCAGCATCTGTAGTCGAATTTTCTGCAAAAATCAGACAAAAGTGAAGGTTTTTGGCAGGGTTTGTAGAAGGACGGGTATAAATTTTATCTTGAAAAGTGAACGTAAAACTCACAATTCCTGACCACATCGATCAACCACGAACGGATCACAGCCACTGTAGATCGGGGTCCCGTCTGCCAGTCTCCAGGATGAACACATACGGTAACTAGCAAAAAATATATATAAATTAGTATCTTAGTTTAGTTAATCGATTCTCATAGATGAGGGGTCCTTAATGTATTTTAAACTAAAATAGACCATACGTAGTCGATTTGATTCAAGACTGGTGCTGCTTGACGCTGATTGGCCGCTACTAAGTTTTCCAGTTTAAAGTCAAATCTGTGCACATTCGTCAAACAACGAAGTGTCTGATTATCAATTATTAGCAAACAAAAACTCAATAGGACGCAAAATCAATCCATTCAATTAATCAATCCATTCCACACAGGACTCCTAGCCTCTTTCAGACAAGCCAGGTTAAAATTAAAATAAAAAAATTCATCTCAAGGTTCTGAAGCTGTTGCCTTACCCATGTTGATCGGGATCTGAATACTGGGGAGCAGATGGCTGTTCGAATCTAATTGCTCCGGCCAGAAAGTGGCCAAATAAGTAGAACAAAATCGTAACCGCCCTCATCACCAGGCTTTCTGATAGCGGAGTCCCCGGACAAGTGGTTAAATGCACTTGCACATTACGGCAGTGGGCCTGGTTGTAGGGCGGTTGGTTCACATTGGTTGATACCTGGTCGTGATGACATAAACACTGGCTAATTTGGCTCATATCACCACGATGTTCCAAACCAGTTTTCACATAAACAAATTCTGTGTTTTCAAACTTGGTCTCTAGGTGCGGGAGAGTACAAGTGCTTTGTAAACATTTGCACGTTTCGCGCGTGCATTTTGCAAAAGTCATTGGATGCTTTTGCGATTACTATTGCCGGAGAATTCAAATTCACAAGCGTATTTTGGGCTAAATCACTAAGTTAATGATATTCAAATAGGTATTCGCTTTTATTAGCTAGAACATTATTTGTGAAACTAAGCGACATCGATAAGTAACTTGACTCTAAAGTATCGTTTAGGTTTTATTGATTTCGAACACACTTTACATCATTTTTTGTCCTCTCGTGTGTGCACTGCAGTAAAAGGGGGTCGGCATATTAAATCATGCCAAGCGCAGCCAATCCTCTGTGTTTTAGCGTTTGAATGGCCTATGCTGAAAATCAGTAGCCAATCAGAGACAAGGACTGGTAATGATGATTAGAGGCGCCTGATGTACGGTTCTTGCTAGTGGGTGGTCAGCAAAGTCAACTCTGGTGTACCAGTATTCTTAATAGTAAGGCAAGGTCATTCTATTCTTAATGCAGTTCATGTTATGGTGCAGCCATATTTGCTCAAGCCAAAAGTCCAGCCAATCCCCATTCTTTGTGTGTTTTAACCACTCACGAGAATGATTAATTAAGAGGCTTTGATTAACCATGCTCTGTTTAAAAAGCTTGATTGGTTCACACTTTATCACTGGCGTTGTACATTGTTTTGTTTCTACTAAAGCGGCTAATTTGTAAAAACAAACAATCCTGTCACGTTGCATTACTCCAGCCACTTATACAGCTTCTCGGACATGCCTGCCCCTGGTTGGCTGCAAACTTCTCCAACATGCCATTAGAAAGTAATGAGACAGATGATTCGTTGAGACGGACGTGGTCCAATGAGTTCGCACCTTTACACATCACTACAGTAAAGCCCTCGAGAAGGATTAGCAGTCAACCAGAGACAAGGGTGGATGAGCAGTGCCATAAAAAGGGAGGCACGTCAAAAATGACTAACCCAGGTAGCTGACATCTACCGAACCGTCCTAACTTGGTATTCAAAAAAATCTTGACTTGCTGTACTTCAATTTTTCACTCTAGGATTCAAAAATAATCTAGCTGAAGTTAAATAAACTCAAAGTTCATGTAAAAATTTATGTATAGCGAAAAAATTTTTTTATGCCCGAACATCGATCGTATTCATCAGTAGTGACAATAAAGACGCCACTGATACGGCGATATGAATAGCTAAAGAGACTTTCGTAACTTCTAAAAGCAACAAAAAATATGTAATAAAATAATATCAAGCCGGATTATTTTTGGTGTTTTTAGATTACAGAGTCTGCATTCACTTTTGATGAAGCAGGAATTATTTACGAGTTTGGGCATTTGGCACTTATAATGACATTTGCTATTTGATATTCATCTACACCTAATCGACCAAAAGATTATCTTTTTTGACTTATTTCAGTAATACTTGACATTTTGTGTCACAATTGGCATCAATTTAAATGCAGAGTAAACATAACGTGATGGGGTAGTAACGAGTCGACATTGCTGTAACGACACACAAATATGCACACTTTTTCTAAGTCTTGACCAATTTCCTTACGTGGGATTTTAACTATACAACAGTAGTGTCTACTAACTTTAATGGCAAGAGAATATGTTTGATATCTTGACCAGGAGAATTGTTATCAAAATGATTACGACATAAAAAATCCGCGATTTCAGTTTTCATAGCAGTTAGCGAAATCCAATAGCACGCCATCATCACTGTGCAACAAGACACA